AGCTCTGAAGATGTAATTAGCACAAGAATTGTTTGCCTTTGTGGCATCCACATTGGACCGACTGGTAGTCTCGCTGGTTCTTCGGCAGTGGGGAGTAAGCTTGTAACACCTCAGGAGTTCTTAAAATACAATTGCCTCACTGAGGAAGGCAAGATGAAACACTAACTCTACATGCTTTACCCATTTGTCACCGTATCTCTAGGTTAATCCCGCTCATACTACAAACACTGTTTTATAGGTTATCAACTATCACCAGGAAATAGTAAAAATGCTAGGCACTCATTTATGACAAGGACAACGGTGAAGAAAAGTCTTTGTTTTGCATATTGCCATCAGGATACAAGTGCCATTTCATTTACTCTAATACCATAATTAATCTTACAAGACTGCTTGCACAAACGCCAATTTATAGATAAATTGTTTCTGTTGCAAAAAGAAAACAACAAACAAAACCACAAGAACAACCTCCACCTCCTTCCCCAAAACCAAAAACATTTCAAGTGACTGGAAATGCAACCTCCTCCGAGGAGTAGGAGGACATAAAATTAGCGCCTAACGCCATGGTCAGAAGCTTGCACAGATACAGAAGCAAACTCCTTCCTTACAAGCACTGGAGACAGACTCTTGATCATCAAGGCACAAAAGGATCGGTGTTTGAACATGGAAATTAGTCCGGATGAATATACACATAATAGATATCTGAATGTATATTTACAGATATTTAAACTGGAAGCCATAGGTCTTACACCACAATCCTACAAACAGTTTACTCTGGCAGTGTTGCGCGAACACAGGCTGTGGTCCCACACAGTTTAAACCTAACCTGGCACACCCACACCGCCACTCCCCACCTGAGCTGTGTAATGCCCCTGCCCGCCCTTGTGCCAGCACCGGTACTTCTGTTGCTCCTCGATAAATTCATTCAAAGCACTAAACACATAGTTTTTTGCAGTTAAGTGTCCTGCCTTTCTTATTCAAACAGAAAAGCCGAGAGAGATGTAGCAACACCACAGCAGTAGTTCGGACTGGCTTAAGGTGTCATCAGTCGCCCTTGAGCATACGTCATATTCTTTTAGTACTGATAAAAGATGTTCTATTTTAATTAACACTACACTGAATTGATTCAAAGGCACAGGGAAACACAAGGACTTAAACCTACTTATGGGACGTCTGCACGCCAACATCACCTGGAAACAAAACAGTCAGTAAGACAAATCTTAATTAAAAAGCCTCCAGCTGTCTTTTGCTTTGCTTCATGGTATGGCCTGAGCTTTGCACAGCATTTACCTGAAATATAACAAATATCTGCTAAGTGAAGTCAAACACTGACAATATTCATAAAAGGAAATGCACTGCCACTCTGAAATACAACAGCAAAAGAACTTACTGAATGTTATCGAAAACCCATCTGAAAAAAGCAGCGCGCTAGGAAAATACTTTACTGAATGACAAAACCAAGAAAAATGAAGATTAAGAGTCTTATCTAACAAAACGGCACTGAATCATTTACTTCATAATAGCATGCTAATCAAAATCCCAGTTTGCAAAGCAGAAAGCATGCAAAAAAAAGTCACAGTTGCTACCCAGCAGACTCTACAACTTTAGATGCGATGCTGCAAGTGTGGTGACATAGTAGTGGTTTTCCAAAAGCATGGTTTCCATGCAAAGGTTGTAGGATTGGGGTCTAATTTGAAGCAAGATGCAAAAAAGTATCCTAGACGCAAAAAAAACCAAGAAACCCAAGCAAAATTACAAATGTTTCCCCTCACTGCTAAAAATTAATACTATAAACTTAGTTTGTAGATTACCACTTTGCATGAGAACGAAGCAGGCCCCTCAATGCTATCACCTTGAGATGCAAGTACTGTGAATAACCAACTATTCGATATAGAAATCCCTTCAACATGCATGCAAGGAACCTATTACGCTTTTATGAGCTGTATCAATTAGTAATAGTTAAACATAGTGCTTTTATTAACCTAATAAACGGTCGCCTTAAGAAATTCATAATTCAAACACTAAAGACAACCACCACCACCACCACAAGTAAACACTGAGAATATTTCAAAGCTTAAACTTCAACAGTTGTAACCATCTGACAGGTTTGCAATTTTAAGCCCTTTGGTGCAGAGGGAAGGAAAGAATATTACTCGTGATCCTGAAGAAAACAAATACTTGCTTCAGGTCCAAAGCCCCAGAACATCATACAAATACTACTTAGAACAAAGTGCATATTAGAGAGCTTCCAAGAAAGCCGCCTCTTGCCTCAAAGCCTATTAAAAAAGCAAAGCCACAGAAGTCTTACAACTGGATGACTCTCCAGAAAATCAGTTACATAAATTCTTAAATTTAACATTAAATAGGTAAGAAAAATACAAGGCTTCATATCACTGTTTGTTTCTATAAATTCTAAGAGCATCAGAAATTCTACACGGAGGTATCGGTTGTTTAGAACTGACCAAAACATCTGGACTGTGAAAAATAGTCTGCTCAAAAAAAATCAATTCCAGGACATGTTGTTTCAGGGAGAAAAAGACACTGATCTTTTAGGCTAGACTTACATGGATTTAGGTATTGCTCACAAAATAAGAGGATGCTTTAATAGCTGCAAAGCGGTTCTTACAGAGAGGAGGTACACCCTGACTGCCAAGCTACGTGCCAGGAGTGTGGGGTTCAGGTCCCTCTTCTCTCTGATGAACAGCAAGGACTGATACTCAAATGTTCCTCGCTCCTGGACGAGCCTCCTAACAACATCCTACAGCCATCCTCTCTAATCCATAACATTTTTAAGTTTATACAGAATAAAATAGTTCTGGTAACAAGATACACTCTCCCGTTCTCCCAGGTTCATGCAGCTCACTGTTTGGATATTCCCCAGGAAGGCAGAAGCTTCAAATAGATGTACTGCTCTAAATCTATAATCTTCCATCATTTTTTCCCCCCCTTTACTTCCACCACTTCTTTCCCACATATAAATAGACAGAACTCAGTCCCTAGCTGGAAACAGCTTGAAGACCACTACACATGCACAAACCCAGGGCTGAACATATGTAGAATATACGCCAGGAGGAAGAGGTGCACTATTCATGCTTGGAGATTCAAAACTTGACTGAATGAGGCCCTTATCTAATGCAACCTTATCTAATTTGACCTACTCTGAGCAGCAGGTTGGACTACAGACCTCCAGAAGTCCCTTCCAGCCTGAATTACTGTATAATCCCGAGGGTAAAGAGCACTACACAGTCAGAAGATGTCTGGGTCACAGCGAAGGAAATGACCTACGGCAGGAAAGGGACATGAGCAAGAGGAAAGCCCACGTCTACCCCTGAAACAAGGCACCACCTTTCAGCTCCTTTCCATCCCAGCTCCCACCAACTCCTCCACACTATCACTCAGTCTCCTCCCAGCAATTCTCCACAGGGATGGGTCCCTCCTCAGGTTTGAGAACTGCTACCAGAAATGTAACAAAATGCAGATTTTGGTCAAAATATCCTCGATTGTCCTAACCCACCCGACTGTAAGGACATCAACTCTATCTCCTGTTTTGGATGTGGGACTCGAGAGCTCTTGTGAACTTAGTTTGACATTCCCCTGCTTTTATTTTAAAAGGTAGGGAAATAGTGTATTCAATACTTTAACTTTTTTTTTTTTTTTTTTTATGAAAGGAATTAGAGTTATTTTGTTTCAGATCACCACGGAGACAAAAGGGCTTTTCCCTCCCCTTCCTTTTTTCTTCAGCTATTGAACTGGACTTCACTTGATTCCCTTTCCCAAAAGGAATATTGGGATACTTCTGTGGAGAATGTGGGGAAAAAAAAGCGACCCTACACTTTTCTTGGATTTTTGCCTTCTTCACCTTCCCATTCCCTGGCTGAAGTTGCCTTTTCATACTTGCTTCCTCATAATCTAGAGCAAGTTTTTCTAATTAAGGCAAGTAATAAACACTTAAACTTTTTTTTTTTTCTTATTTATTGAAAGGAATTAGAGTTATTTTGTTTCAGATCACACGGAAGACAAAGGGCTTTTCCCTCCCCCTCCCTTTTTGCTTCAGCTATTGAACTGACTTCACTTGATTCCCTTTCCCAAAAGGAATTATTGGCATACTTCTGTGAGAATGTGGGGAAAAAAAAGCGACCCTACACTTTTCTTGGATTTTTGCCTTCTTCACCTTCCCATTCCCTGGCTGAAGTTGCCTTTTCATACTTGCTTCCTCATAATCTAGAGCAAGTTTTTCTAATTAAGGCAAGTAATAAACACTTAAACAGGTGCCCAGACCACAGTCTGATTAACATAACCCTCAGGCAAGTTTCGTTGAGAGAAAAAAACCCACCAACCCAACCGAAAAAAAAAAAAAATATATATCTCTTGTCAATTCATGCTTCCTCTTCCATGTTTACTTGTTTGTTTTTGTTTCTTTTGTCCTTAGAGTGCCTCTGTCATCTGGGTAACTCCGTCCCACTCAATCACCGAGGGGTAAGAAGTGAGGTTACCGAGCTGAGGGCTCAATCAGCACAGGAAAAAATACAGCAAGAGAGGCATTTTCCCCCAAAACGCCAGGCAGAAGGAAGAGCTCGCCCAGGGAAGGGGGCACAGCCCGGCTGTAACGCAGGTGCGAGAGGCGTGGAGAGGGGTGGACCCCGGGGGGAAGGGGGAAAAACAAACAAAAAAAAAGCCATGAAACGGCGAGTTTAGGAAAAAGCTGTCAGGAGAGGGGAGTGAAGACAGCTGCTTCGTGAGAGCAGCTCGGCTTCGCCCACAAACCTACCTGTACCTATGCAGGCGTGCATTATACATAAATAAATACACACATACGCCTATAAACACGCCCCCGCGCCCCGACACACACCCCTACACCCACAGGCAGGCACACCTGCCCCTATGGACACCCATGGGGACGGGCACCCCCCGGCCTCCCGCCCCGCTCTGCCCCTCAGGCCCGCTCCCCTCACACCCCCGCCGGGGAGGGGAGAGCGGGGGTGGCTGAGGGAGGAGGGTCTCACCTCGCCGGTTCATGGGGCGGACGCGCACCGCCACCTTCACTTTGGAGTCCCCCATCGCGCCGCTCCAACCTCCCCGGCTCCCTCGTCCCTCCTCGGCTTCCGTCTACGGAGGGAGAGCCGGCGGCGCGGGGAGGAGCGCGGAGCGGGGCGGGGGGGAGAGACCGGCGGCGGTGGGAGGGAGGCACCGTGCGTGGCGGGGGGGCAGCGTGGCGCGCTGCACGCTGGGAGCTGTAGTCCTGCCCGCGGCCCCTGCCTGGAGGGGAAGCATTGCATGCTGGGATGTGTAGTCCTATAGAATAAAGGGGTTTGCTGAGGGGGTGCTCCCCAAATGGCGTTTGTGGGTTGTGGTGTACAACAGGGCGCTGAGGGGGGGCCTAAGGGTCACCCCAGATCCTGCCACTCATCCCCCGGGTGGCTGCAGGTGAACCCGCTCCCACCTCAGTCCCCCCCCCAGCACCTCGGACCCTTTTTGGGGGAATACTGCGATATTTCGTGACAAGCAGACAACAGCATCACCACCAAAACCTCACCTCACCTCACCATAAGAGGCCGCACCTCGAGTACTGTGTTCAGTGTTGGGCCCCTCACTACAAGAAGGACATCGAGGTGCTGGAGCGCGTCCAAAGAAGGGCAACGAAGTTGGTGAAGGGTCTGGAGCACAAGTCTTATGAGGAGCAGCTGAGGGAGCTGGGGTTGTTTAGTCTGGAGAAGAGGAGACTCAGGGGAGACCTTATTGCTCTCTACAACTACCTGAAAGGAGGCTGTAGCGAGGTGGGGGTCGGTCTCTTCTCCCCAGTAACGAGCAATAGGACGAGAGGGAACGGCCTCAAGCTGCGCCAGGGGAGGTTTAGGTTGGATATTAGGAAAAACTTCTTCAGCGAAAGAAGGGTGGTCAAGCATTGGAACAGGCTGCCCAGGGAAGTGGTTGAGTCTCCATCCCTGGAGGTATTTAAAGAACGGATAGATGTGGTGCTCGAGGACATGGTATAGATGGACTTGGCAGTGCTGGGTTAATGGTTGGACTCGATGATCTTAAGGGTCTTTTCCAACCTTGACGATTCTATGATTCTATGATTTACTCTGGGAGTAACAAAGCGAGACGGCATTGCTTTGCTGGGCTGTGGGGTTTCTGTCCGTTAGAAACGGCATCACGTTGAACATCACAAACCATAACCCAACATAGAGACCATGGTTTGAGCTGATGACTGGGTCTGGCTTCACAGAGCAACCTCCGATACTCTGTCAACACACTGTTATTAACGATAACGGTGTGATCTGCTTAGCGACGGCGGCTCACTAGAAGAGCTCAACAGTAATAATCGGAGATTGTTTGAACAATATTACAATTTATCCCCATTAGATGGCTTGGCTGCTCAACTGAAGCTACTGATTGCAAAGATCGAGAATGATACTATAACGCAAAGATGCAAAAAAAAGAAAAAAATCTCACTTAAACGGTCATGGTTGAAACCCCTTCTAGCTGCTATTTTAGTTCAAAACAAGGATTCTGTCTGTGTTATTTTGAAAGGCCAGATTTCAGCAAGGGCAGGGAAAAAAAGCAAATTCAGAACCGTAATCCTTTGACCCTTCAACATTGAACAAGGTTTTATGACAGAAATAAATAAATAACACATTTCCAAGTGGTTTTGAGATAAGAGTTCGGAAGGTAGCACTTTTTGCCCAGAAGAATTGCACTCAATATCTATCATTTCATGCCTGCCTGACCTGAAGAATATCTCGTCAAGGCAGAGAGAAAACGAATATTAAGTTGGCATTTAAGTGACGCTGGGATTAATGTCCACGTTCCTAAGAGGTGTGCTAGAGCATCCTGAGTTAGGAAATTGTCTTGAAACTAAAAAAAAGATAAATAACAGCAGGTCGGACCCAGCAGGGTGGCAAAAGCTTGGCAAAAAAATTGAGTTTTTGTCCGTAGCAGCAGAAAGCATGGGCTGCTCGGCACACCGCACTCGCGGCTCAGCCCGGTTCAGCCCCGCAGCCCCGTGCTGCGGAGGGTTTCTTGTTGGGAGAGGGGAGGACCTGCTTTCAGCCTGCACAGTTGGTTCTTGCACTTGTGAACTTGAGGATCCAATTACAGGATGAAACCCAGCTTTGAACTTCTTGTGGTATTTTCCAGCTGGGGCCCCAACAAACCGCACCAATGTTTTCTGAAACCAAGTACTTTGTGATGGAGATAAATATAATCCCCGCTTTACAGCTGGGCACGATGAGCAGCAAGTGGAGGGTGGGGTTGGTTTTTTTTTTAATGTTTGGTTGAGTCACCTGGAATCTGATTTAAATAAATGGGATGAAACCTGCCAGATGTGCATACTGCTGAGGATAGCAGGTGTCCTTCCTCCTCCATCTTCTCCTCTGGTATTCGTTATCATTGGTCTCTCTGTTATACGTAAAATTAAACAGTCTTTCGGAGAAAGGATTGCATGCCACCTTTTTATTTGTTGGAAAGAGGTGCTAGCGTGTCTTAAGTGCCACGTACATGGATAATAACAAATGCAAGCATACAGTTCTTGCAAGCTTTGCTCCAGTTTTCTACTCAGAATGAAGAATTTATTCTAAAATCTGAAAAATCACCCTTCTAGCCTTCCTTCAGTTCTAATTGCCAAAGAGAAACCAGATTCACGTATAATCGTTGCTACTTTCTGCAAATGTCTTCAAAGATGGCGACATCCTTAGGGCCTGAAGAACCGTCCCCAGCTTCGATGTCGGTTTTTTTCGGGGCTCTGGGAAGGCATGCGGGAGCAAGAACTTCTCATGGCTCTCCGCAGTCCTGCCTCTGGACTTGTCCTTTATGCAAGCCCCTGCCTCCTGCAATGAATTACACTAATGCAACTTATCTTGCACTGGCACAAGCTACCTCAGTGTAATTACCCCACTGTGAATTCCTCCACAAGCCCTTTCCCTGGCTCAGTGTTTCACAATCTGTGGGAAGCATCTCCCTGGAGGGGCACAGCTTGGAGGGAGGATATTGTTTCCATTCACAGCACTGGAACATGCTAATTATGCTGGGAGGAAAAGGGGGGTGGCAGCTTTCACTTGGGAGGGACAGGCTGGGCAAATAGTTTGTGAAACGCCAACTTAACCCCATCTTGTAGGGAATTGTCTCCAGCTCTTTTCCCCCTTCCTAGTTACTGTAATGAGGGGCTGACTTCCCAGATTAGCTCTGGCTATTTAAATGCTAATTTAATTAACAAAACATCCTTGGGGGGGAGGCATTACTTGTCCCTCCCATTCATTTATCGAGTTTCTGAATGCAACACTATTTTCGTCAGGTTGAGGAGCCACAGTTATTGCTATACCCACCTGGTCACAACAGGGATTAAAGCAGTGATGTGGAGGAGAGAAAATCAGGTCCTTCATCTCCTTTTTTTCTAAGCAACTAAATACGATTGACTGTTTAGAAGTAACCAATTCAAAAGGATTTCACGTGTCCCACATAACTGTGATGCCTGGGGTGTGCGTATCACCAGGCTGCAATGGAAGAAGTTGGCTTTTGTTTTTATCTAGATGGAAGTATCAATGGTTTAGATCTCGGATCATCTAGATATAATTATATCTCAGGGCGAGGCATAAAACATGAGAGTCTTTTGGATGTCTTCTTCCAAACCATAACAAGCAACGAGTCAAGCGTATTTTAAATGCATTTTTTCGTTTGTTAGGCTGCCTATCAAAAGAGACGCATCAATTATGAATTTGCTGTAGACCTAGTTTCTGCCCATAAATCATTCAGGTGTCGGAAAACGAAAACAGAGGATCTTATCAGTGTTTAGTTAGTTGTATGCAAACTCTTAAGTGTCACTGGGCTCCACCCTTGCAAGAAGCTGAGCACCAACTGGGACTGTCCCAGTCAGAGACTGGGAGGCATTCAGGTCATTCAGGAGCTCTTTAGCATCTTCAGTGATCAAGTCCTCAGCACAAAAGTATGTGGTGAAACATTTAGAAAATAAGACCTGTTGCTGTTGGACATTTTCAATAGATTTTTGGCTTGTCCAGTCCCTGGGGGAATGAGTTTTGTCTTCAGGTTTATCTTGCTTTTCAGTCTGGAGATAAATAAATGTAGTAGAAATTTGTAGGTACTTATAGGCAAAACAGAAGACAAGTTGGTTACAGATTTCTTTCAGCTAGAATCAAGAAAGAAAGCACCAAGGGAAATCAGTATTAAGAACAGGTTGAGAAATCTGGATAAAACATCAAATCAATTTCTCCGAATCAGTTGTGTCAAAATTCTGCTTGTTATCAAGATTGTTGAGTTGTTGTTTTTAAAAGAATTGCTGAAATTTCTCCTGCAACACTTTGTACAAATGTACAGGTTCAGGAGCCTCACAATAATTTTAGCAAAGCACTTTCTGTACTCTATTATTTTAACAGGAACTTTGTAAAAATCAAAGGATTGTTCGTTTCCAGGGTCTCATAACTGAATTTTACTGATCCTGGGATGGACTTTTAAAGGTATTTGAGTGTGGCCTCCTGCCCTCACTGTGAACAGTATCCTTAGGCAAATAAATGAACTCTTGAAGTCTCCTTGCAATACTAGATTGTAACAGAGTAAAGCCTGAAACAAACTTTTTGTAGGCAGCCCCCACTTTTTTAAAGTTATTCCAAAGTTCAAAGTCCTGGTCATAAATTTCATGGCATTATAGGACATAATACTCTTTCCTATATTACCCAGAGGGAATCCCAAATCGATAGCCAGGCTCTGAGCACTCCATAAACCTCTTTATGGCAGTGAAATTTCTTATAGCTACGCTTCGTCTGGGGTGCTTCTCCCGTACAGTGGGATTTCAATATAAATTCATACCTCCAACAGCAACGCAGGGCCAGCTGATATTAGCAATTTATGTGCTGGTAGGATGAGGCTCCCAATGAGAATTTTCTCATCTTATTGACTAAAAATTTTTATTATTCTTATCAGCTGTTCAGTTTGCTGATACAGCGTGTTTCAAAGCAACTGGTTTTACCGGGCGTGTTGCATCGTATTTGAGCAGTTCTTTCCTCAGATAAAGATTCGACGTTGGATTTCATTTGTTTGAAAATAAAATGGTTTTTTTTGTCTTTGGAGAAAATGGGGAATCTCTAGAGAACTTGAAAAATACAAAATTAGCAGGAGAGTATGTTTA